TCCGTGAGAGTCGAATCTGCTTCAATGAAGTTGCTGTATGCGAGGGTGAAGGAGACCACGGGGACAAGAAGGCGGAACATCGGGAAAGGGAGGGGGGACGTGCATTGTGTGATGGCGGGAAAAACTCAGTCATGACCTGTGTGTACTTGTTACATTGTTTTCGTGCATCAAAGTGCCCTACTAAGCTCGTTGTAAGCTCGTGCGTCAAATTTCACGCTTGGGCGGGTTGTCCAGGTGCATTTTGTTGTTACCTGACATTTTGTGCCACGTGCGATGGTTGATCCGAGGTGGGGCTGCATGCAACTCGTGGGCGAGAGTTGCGTGGTTGGGTGCAGACTGTGTAAAATACACAAGTCGCTTCCTCGCGGTCTGAGGTTCTGACACGTGCCAGCATATGTAGTATTACGCATCACATACGATTGCGACACTTTCTTAAGAGACATGTCTTCACACGAATGTAGGCTTAGGGCTAAGTTCTGTTATGACTAGTAAATAGAGAAGCATTGTGCACTCCTATCAGTAGCAAGCGAATAATGCAAAGGCGAGTACAAAGGCAAAAGGTTGGAATGACGCGAAGAGTCACGTATGGTTGGCAGCATCTGGACCATCTGAGCAGAAGCATCGGGCAGATCCATGAGCAAGGATTTTGGGGGGAACATGTTTGTAACCATCTGGAGTCACACGGTTACCATGTTTCCTTCCAATAAGGAAATGTACTCCTTATAGTACATGGTTAGCTAGGACGTTTGGTTTTCCCTTGTACTACAATATATCATCATGTATGCCCTTGTTTTAAAATCATCCCCAGTCATTTTAAATTCTCTGACATGAGGTCAATACTTCTGCTACAACACACTGCGTTCAAACCTTCCTGAGGTGATCATATGCACGATCAGGTTTCTGGTCGCAACAAGTGCAGCCCAACAACTATTTTACACTCTCTTTTTAAGCCACACACTTCTCCACCCCACTTGTAAGTAGTACGGTAATTGACACTACTTCGCCGTGTCAGATTACAATTGTATCTCTAGGCTACAGTAGGGTCACTTCTTAGTGAGTACAACACTTCAGGGTTAGGTTTCCCCTACTTGTACTCACCTCTTGCCTAGTTCAATCATCCATTCCTAGTTCTATTCTTGACATGGTATCAGAGCAAGAACCGTTCCTATATGGGCCCACCGTTCCGCCTAGTGGTAGCCCCACGCCCTACACAGTAGCCAGCGCGCTGGCGCCCCTAGCTCTCACTGTCGCGATCCTTGCAGCCCGTGCGCTGCCCTTGCGACCGCGCTGCCCCTGCAGCCGTGCTCGCCCCTACGACCGTGCTGCCCCTGCAGCCGTGCTCGCCCCTCCTACCGTGCTGCCCCTGCAGCTGCGCCTGCCCCTGTGGCCAGCGCGCTGCCCCTGCAGCCCGTACGTCACTTCTGCAGCCCGTACGTCGCCCCTGCAGCCCGTTCACGGTGCCCCTGCAGCCCGTTCACGCTGCCTCTGCAGCCCGTTCACGCTGCCCCTGCAGCCCGTTCACGCTGCCCCTGCAGCCAGTTCACGCTGCCCCTGCAGCCCGTTCACGCTGTCCCTGCAACCCGTTCACGCTGCCCCTGCAGCCCGTTCACGCTGCCCCTGCAGCCCGTTCACGCTGCCCCTGCAGCCCGTTCACGCTGCCCCTGCAGCCCGTTCACGCTGCCCCTGCAGCCCGTTCACGCTGCCCCTGCAGCCCGTTCACGCTGCCCCTGCAGCCCGTTCACGCTGCCCCTGCAGCCCGTTCACGCTGCCCCTGCAGCCCGTTCACGCTGCCCATGCAGCCCGCGCGCAGACCTACCGAGCCGCGCGTCGCCTCTGCAGCCCGTCCGCGCGGCCCCTGCAGCTCGCGCGTCGCCCCTGGAGCCCGCGCGCTGCCTTTGCGGCCCGTTCGTGCCGCCCCTACAGCTCGCGCACGGACCTGCCGAGCCGAGCGTCGCGCTCTGCTGCCCCTCACGTCACGCACTGCTGCAGCCTGCGCCAGCGCCCTGCCCTACGCATGCTGGCGCCCTGCCCTGTGCCAGCGCCCTGCCCTGCACCCGTGCCCTTCCCTGCGCCAGCGCCCTGCTTACCCTAAATATAATTAAATTGTTTATTAAAAAAAAAAGGGTCCTAGGTGCTTCTGCCCTAGGAGCTACTGCTCTGCTGTGGCCGCGCGCCGCCCTGCTCTGGCCGCGCGCCGCCCTACTGCTGTTACTAATGTTGCTGCTGCTACTCGTGCTACTAGGAGTGGTGGAGATGCTGGTGGGAGTGCAGGAGGTGCTGCTGGCGCTGTAAGAGCTGGAAGTGCTAAACCTACTCCTGACCGTCACTGTCTGTCATGGCCACTTCCGCGGCAGTTGCTGCGGCTAGGGGTAGACAGCAGCGGGCACTGCTTCTCCCGGACGACCCCACCCCTCGGCACCTTCGTGAGTGGGTTATTCAGCGAGGTCGTCCTGGTGGTGGAGGTTATCGTTTTGTTAGGACTGCTGCTCTAGGCTAGTGAGTCTGCTACGGCTCTAGGCGCTAGTAAGTTTGCTGCAGCTCTAGGTGCCCGTCCGTCTACCGACGCTCTAGGTGCTAGTGCATCTACTACCACAGGTCCTGCCTCAAATGAGGTCTTCCACACTTTCACGCTTGACTCAGGCGCGTCACGTTGCTTCTTTCGTGATTGCACCACAGTCACACCACTCACAGCACCTGTCCCAGTCTCACAGGCTGACCCCTCTGGGGGCCCAGTGGTTGCGAGAGCCTCCACGGTCCTCCCTTGTCCAGCAGTCCCCTCCGGCTCTTTGTCAGGTCTCCACCTCCCCACGTTCTTGACGAACTTGGTGAGCAACGCTGCCATTCAGGATGTCTGGGTTGATACTATTATTCCTAGAGGGAAGCGTGTGGTGATCTGTAAGTGCTCCCAGACTGGCCGTCACCTGGCTACGTTCACTCGACAGCCTGGGTCTAGTCTATACACACTGACCACTGCATCTGCACAGGTGGCTGAGTCAGGTCAGGTAGCTGCGTCGAGTCGAGCGTCTGCGTCAGGGCAGTTAGTTGTGTCTTGCTCGTGCAGAGTACTCACGCACGAGACTCAGCACTGGCACCACCGTCTTGGTCACCCCTCCCTGCAGCGTCTGCGCGGCATGCACTCCCGGCTCCTGGTCTCTGGCCTCCCTGAGACCCTGCCCCCCCTCCCGTGCTCACTTGCGCCGCCGTGCCTTCCTTGCGTCGAGGGGCGGTAGCGCGCCGCTCCTCACTCCCTCGAGTTTCCTCCAACCACTGCTCCTCTGCAGACTCTCCACCTAGACGTGTGGGGCCCGGCCCCCGTCGGTGGGACGGACCAGGAGCGCTACTCCCTGCTTGTTGTTGATGACTACACACGCTACACCACAGTCTTCCCCTTGCGTCACAAGGCGGACGTCAGCGGTGTTTTGATCCCCTAGATCCGTGCTACTCGTCTCCAGCTAGACGAGCGCTTTCAGCAGGACTTCCCAGTCCTGCGTTTGCACTCTGACAGGGGTGGAGAATTCTCTTCTGGCGTCCTTAAGACGTTCTTCCAGGATGAGGGCATCGCCCAGTCGTTGACGCTTCCGGCCTCTCCGCAACAAAATGGGATCGCTGAGCATCGCATTGGCCTGATCATGGAGGTTGCTTGTACCTCCATGATCCATGTGGCTGCTCCCCATTTCCTGTGGCCGTTTGTGGTCCGATACGCCGCGCATCAGCTCAACCTCTGGCCCTGTGTCTCTGCTACAGAGACCTCGCCCACACTCCGTTGGACGAGACAGCCTAGTGATGGGTCGTCGTTTTGGGTCTGGGGCGTGCTCTCCCTTATTCGCGATACCAAAGCGAGCAAGCTCTCTCCTTGCACTCTCCGCTGTGTCTTCCTGGGCTTCCCCACCGACGCTCCACGCTAGCAGTTCTACCACCCTGCCTCGCGTCATGTTCTGTCCTCTCAGGACGTCACCTTCGACGAGTCGCTCTGTTACTACTGACTTCACCCACACACGTCCCACCCGGTCCCCCTTGCACCCCTCTTCCTGGTACCAGTCCCCCCCCCCCCCCAGTAGACCCCCTTCCCCCACAGGGTCTTGCTCCCTCAGGTGTGTCCCAGGTAGACGCACCCCCCTTGGATGAGCCAGTTGAGATCTCTTCTGACTCTTCGGACTCACCTGAGGGGGGTGACGCCGTAGCCGACGACACGGCGACCACTCGCCGCACTCCTCGCTTGGCAACCCCCCCCGGGTTTCCCGCCACGGCCGTCTTCGCCGCCTCCGCAGCCTGCTGCTGTGGACTCTGGAGCTGAGACTACTGGAGCTGGGACTAGGGGTGGTGAGTCTGGGGGTGCCCGCTCTCCTCGTCTCGCTACCCCCCCCCCCCCGGGTTCCCACCTCTGCCGTCTTCGCCGCCTCTGCAGCCTACTGCTATGGACATTGAGGGTGCTGAGACTGAGGGTGCTGGGACTGAAGGGTGCCGAGACTTCGGGTCTGACTCTGGGGGTGCTGCGGGTCCTTTTGGAGGTCCTGGAGCTGGAGGTACTGGAGCTACTAGGCCTGGAGGTCCTACTGGAGGTACTAGAGGTACTGGGTAGAAGAGATTTTGTTCTACCACTCGTAGGACAGGACACCATAATTTTAGGATGAATGAGTTTGAGTCCTAGATTGGCTCACCCTGGGGATTACGGTACCTACATGACCCTGGCAAGTAATCCCAGGGTAGGGGCACTGTCACCATGACTATCGAAGGGATGAAGGTATAATATTCTACAGGAACTGAAGACACCAGTATTTGTACATTTACGAGCCAGTAAAATTGAGATTGTAGTTGATATTTCCAACCAGAACATACCATATCTCAAATCAGTGTGACATTCTATACTACTCACAGGGAACAGCCCTGCTCAGGACAAAATCTGCAGCACACTGTAACACACCTATGCAGCTGATGTACCATCTATAGTTGGCAACTAAGGGCGCAGCAACGAGCACTGGTGGTCAATATTGAGCACGGCTTTAGAGGTGGAACTGGCGCAGCAGGGAGGAGCGCAGTGAGAGAGCGAGGCGCTTCATGTAGTCCGTGCTGCAGCCCACACGGTCCTGCAAGGGGAGCGGTGGACGGGGGTTTTGAGGCGTGGCATGAGATGAGCTTTGATTCATGAGAGTCGACCAGTTTTGAGGCGCCATAAAACTCCGTTCATGTAGTCTGTGCAGCACCCCACGTGGCCCTGCAAGGGGAGCGGCAGCCGGGGGGAGAGTGATGGCTGGCAGTTGGGGAACCCGGGCGGCAGCCAATGGCTGGCAGTTGGGGAACCCGGGCGGCAGCCAATGGCTGGCAGTTGGGGAGAGCGGGCGGCAGCTGGACAGAACAGAGGAGCAATGTTGTCTCTTGAGCAATCCCAGTGACTCCGTCTATGCGGGCAACATTACCCGTACCTGCTGCACCAATGTGACGCCCCACTCCTACGGCTCCGCCTGTAGCGTTTTGAGTCGACTCAAAACCCAACCTGACGCCCCACTCCCATGGCTCCGCCTGTAGCGTGTGGTGGCTTGTCCACCCCCAATCATCACACACTCAATACCGTTCAGACAGTTATAAAACCTATATCATTCAACCAAGAGTAACATCGAATGCACCAGCTCACCTCGTTCACCTCCACTAGTCTGTTGACACTTGGCAGCACCTCACGAGCCACAGCCTCCAGGTCAGCTGTGGTCCCAACAACCGACTCAAACTCCTCCCTGCTGTGCCCCCCAGCCATCCCCGCCGCTGCTGCCTCTGCTGCCGCTCCTGCATCCTCTCCCCCGTCTGCCACTCCCCCGAACCCCATCGCATCAGCCCCCCCAGGAGAGGGGGAGACGCGCGGCCCTTGCACGCGCAGGGAGCGCGGGCGGGAGGAGAAGGTGGTGGGGGAGGGCGAGAGGGAGGAGGCGAGGGGCGAGGAGGAGCGGGAGAGGAGGGAGTGGTGGAGGGAGAAGTGGGCGAGGAGGAGGTGCAGCAGGTGCTCGCAGATGAAGAGCATCCATGAGAGCGCGCGCTCCTTGCTGGATGCCAGCCCCGCCAGGATCAATAGCGCCTGCCGCCGCCTGCGCCGTGGGCGGTAGGGGTGGGATAGGGACGGGGGGAAGAGTGGGGGGAGAAGAAGGGGGGGTCAGGGGAGGGATGGGGGCAGAGGAGGAGGTGAAGGAGGTGTTGACAGATGAAGAGCATCCATGTGAGGGCTCTCTCTTTGGTGGATGCTAGGCTGGCATGGTCAGGATGAGTAGCGCCTGGCGGGTGGGTGCCACCTGCGAGGGGTGAGGTCGGTAGAGGGATTGAGCTTGAGAGGTCTCACAAGTAAATGAAGATTATCCACATAAGCGGCAACACGCTTGCAGGAGGGAAGGTGAATAGGGAGGGATGTGGGGCGCATGGAAGACAGTGACGGCAGAAGGAAGAGCAGGGAACGAGATGAGGAGGGCCGGGGGGAAAGGTAAGGGTGAGAGGGTTAGAGGTTGAGGAGGAATTACGCTTGGCGGAGGGGCAGGTGGGAGTGGGCGGCGGAGTGGGGCGCGTGGAAGGCAGTGGCATGGATGAGCTCCTCTGCCTCGTGCCGTGACATGTCGTTCACATCCGCCAGCTGGTGGCGTGTGCCCTCATGCGCCATGCCACGCCATGCCATGCCATGCCATGACATGCCATCATTTCCCATGCCATCACGTACCATAGCATCATGCCACGTCATGTCATGAAAACATTATGGGGAAAGGAATATGAGAGGGCAAGGAGGATGAGATAGGAGATGGAACGGGTTCGTGCGTGGAGCAAGTTTGCACTACCAAGGTTGTAAGGGGGGCAACACAAAGAGGTACTTTGGGGTATCCAGCAACAAGGATTCTGTGCTGTGCTGTTGTGCTGTGCTGTGCTGTGCTGTGCTGTGCGGTGCGGTGTTGCGTGGTGCTATAGGGTGCTGCATAGAACCGAGGGGTGAGAGAGAGAGAGAGAGACACACACACACCTTGGTGAGCGCAGTGCCACGTGCCTCCACAGCTGCTTGCAGGTCGATGACCATCTGACGGAGCAGGTCTGATAAGAGGCTCAAGGTGGGGCCCTGATGCTGCCACGTTGCATGCAAGGAGTGGTGGAGACAGTGCAGGGAAGAACCAAGAGAGTGGGAACGTCAGAAGGGGACAGTGGAGCATTCTGATTGTATGGCATGGGATGGGATGAATGCTTGTGTCACACTAGACAAGGTGAGGAGGACATGGCAGATAACAGATACATGCTGGAGAATCACCTGGTGCCTGTAGGCAGCAGGGCGAAACACCTGGTGCTTGGAGGCAGCGTGGAGAATCACCTGATGCTTGGAGGCAGCATGGCGAATCACCTGATGCTTGGAGGCAGCATGGCGAATCACCTGATGCTTGGAGGCAGCACGGCGAATCACCTGGTGCTTGGAGGCAGCACGACGAATCACCTGGTGCTTGGAGGCGGCGGGCAGGAGGAGGCGTTTGAAGGCGACGAGGGAGCGCAGGTACGCCATGAGGTTGGCCCTCACTCTCAACACCCCCTCCTCCATTGCTTGCTCCTCCTGCCACGCATGCGCCGATGATGGGGGTTTCAGTGGATGAGAAGATGGGAGGTCACGTGAGAGAGCGGGAAGAGAATGGTAGAGGAAGGAGAGCTGAGGAGGAGAATGGTAGAGGAAGGAGAGATGGGGAGGAGAATGGTAGAGGAAGGAGAGCTGAGGAGTGGGCAAGGGAGAGGAGAGGAGGGGGGGGGGGGTGTGCGATGAGAGGACGAGGAATCGCATACGCCAGAGAGCGATCACAAACAGCACCTGCTGCTGCAGCAGAGCAGTGAAATGAGATGGGCTTTGAGGCAGCCCCAACCCCAACGCACCGGAGGAAGGAGCAGGGAGAGTGAGATCCCACCGATCTCTCCAGCACGGTCATCCTCCTCCCTCGCCACGCGCTGCCGCACATACTTGACGCGGCTCTCCCCATCGCCCACGCTGTACGCCGCCGCTGCCCGCAGCATGAGGCCTCGCAGCCCCTCCAGCTGAGAGGGGTCGGCCCAGAGAAGCGCCTGGGGTAGAGGGACGGAGAGAGGGAGGAAGGGGATGGGCAAGGGGATGGAGAGCAGTTGAAACTTGACAGCGACAGAGAAAGGACCATTAGAGAATGGGATCTTCCCATCCCCTCGCCCACTGCTGTTGCCTGCAGCATGAGACCTTGCAGCCCCTTCAGTTGGGAGGGGTTGGGGCAGAGGAGCGTCTGCAGCAGAGAGCGGGAGGGGGACGGAAGGAGAACGTGAAACGGCGAATTCCATAACTTACAACGTTTAAACTCTTGCGCTTTCAATCCCCAAACACGTTATATGTCCCTTAAGTGGGAGGATGAGATGGAGACGGGGGTGAGTGGACGGGAGGGAGGAGGCAGGCTAGGTATGTCAGAGTACCAACCTCTGTTGTAACCTGCATCTATCTTATGAGCCTTGAGTAGGGATAGACACTCAAACCTAGTTTGAGTGTACAACTAGGGTTAACCCTAGTTCGGGGTTGAAACCCAACCTTGGGCCAATTATTTGGCCCCCAAGGTTGGGTTGGGAGATTATTGGACCTCCAGTTATGTTGGCCAGGCATGATCATTAGGCCCGACCCGACCCGACCCGACCCGACTTGGGCGGGCCAGCCGGGTTCCGGGTCGGGTCGGGTCGGGTCGGAACTTCAAAAAATCCTGGCCCGACCCGGGTATCGGGTGCCGGGTCAGGCGTGACCCGCCCCCGGGTCGGGTCGGGTCGGGCCAGGACCCCATATGCAGGGTAAGAGGTTCCTAAGTTGGAAAAAACGCTAGTTTCAAGTTGCGTATTGAGTTTATACGCATCTAGAATTCGTACGCTGCGGATTTTTCTAAAATTCGCCAAATTTGGCTCGGGCTGACCGGAAAAAAAAAATCAGATGAGTTCGCGATCTGGCGAACTCAAATTTGAGTCTAGAAATTCAGATCTGAGTTCGCGCATTGCTAAAGCAACTTCAGATCTGAATTTCGAGATTGTTGGTGGATCATTCCCTCTTATCCACCGCTCACAACCCACCTTCACCCCATCCAATTTGTTGCCAACTTCTACCAGACTCACTCAATGTCAGGCCGCTTTTCCCTTCAATAATCTTTGCGTTCGATTTCTTCCTATTCACTTTGACGATGACCTACTACAGCAGCAGTTAGGTAATGGATTACTACAGCAGCTCCGGTCTAGGGTTTAGACATTGACTTCGCGATCTGCTTTAGTGCAACTTGTCGAGGGAATGTCAATGTCAACGGAACAAACAAACCCTAGACATTGACTTCGCGATCTGCTTTAGTGCAACTTGTCGAGGGAGGAAAAGTCGGGTTGGGCCAAATACTCGACCCGACTTAGGGCGCAGTACCCGAAACCGGGTCGGGTACGACTTCGGGTCTAAATCTGACCCGACCCAACCCGACCCGGTTTCGGGTGTCGGGTCGACCCGACCCGACCGGGTAAACCCGACCCGACCCGGCCGGGTCAGCGCTTCAAAATGCCTGACCCGACCCGCCGGGGCAGGATGATCATGCCTAATGTTGGCCCACTTTTGCCAGCATGATTGGACCCCCCAATAAATTCCTCAACCTAACTTATTGGTAGGGGCCAATAATGTTGCCTAGGAACCCGACCAAACCCCACCCCTCTAGCACAACTATGTATGCCCTCGACACCTCTAATGTATCATCGATTCCTCTTCCTACTTCACACGTCTTCTCACAAAGTACCCCTTGATCTGGATACGTGGAAGTGAGCGAACCCGGGAGAGGAAGGCGGTGGAGAGGGAGAGCAGCAGCAGGTCGGTGGGGTTGCAGGCGGGCGAGCGGTCCTCCAGCAGGCGTGAGAGCATGGGCTCGTGATGGATGGCGAACTGCACCAGCTGTGATGCCACATCCGCTTTTGACTGTGATGACGGGAGTGAGCGTGCAAGGGGGAGGAGAGAAGAGCAGAGTGGGTGCGAGAGCATGGGGTCGTGGTGCACGGTGAAGCGCACCAGCTGTGATGCCATGTCCGCTTTGACTGCGCAAGGCCCACAGGGGGGCAGAGGGGAGTGAGAGATGAGACTTTTGAGGCGCCTCAAAAGGAAGTGCAGCAGCTGTGATGCCACGCCTGCCTTGGACTGTGTGTACACGGGGGGCAGAGGGCAGTGAGTCATGCGATCAGATGGGTGTGCTGTGCGGTGCGGTGAGATGTAATGGACGTGAGGTGAGAGGGACGGGTGACAGCACAACAGCAGCACGGCGCAGCCGCAGCGGCAAGTGAATTAATGTGGTATGAAGAGGAATCTCGAGATGCCTCCAAAGTACTAGAAATATTTGTGAGGCGCGTTGATTAATGGCAAGTGCATGTGGATCACACAGTGAAATCTGAAGGATTCTCGAGGCGCCACCTCACAATGTCGCCCATTCAAAATCCACGTGAAATGAGTTGAAGATGAAGGGGCTATGGGCAGTGCTACAGTGCTACAGGGCGATGGGCAGTTGTGCAGTGCTACAGGGCTATGGGCAGTTGTGCAGTGCTACAGGGCTATGGGCAGTTGTGCAGTGCTACAGGGCTATGGGCAGTTGTGCAGTGCTACAGGGCTATGGGCAGTTGTGCAGTGCTACAGGGCTATGGGCAGTTGTGCAGTGCTACAGGGCTATGGGCAGTTGTGCAGTGCTACAGGGCTATGGGCAGTTGTGCAGTGCTACAGGGCTATGGGCAGTTGTGCAGTGCTACAGGGCTCTGGGCAGTTGTGCAGTGCTACAGGGCTATGGGCAGTTGTGCAGTGCTACAGGGCTATGGGCAGTTGTGCAGTGCTACAGAGCTATGCGCAGTTGTGCAGTGCTACAGGGCTATGGGCAGTTGTGCAGTGCTACTCAGGAGCATGCGATGCGGCTCACAGTGGCGTCGGATGGTGGTGCGTGTGGTGAGAGCGAGGCGTCGGGCGGGGCGAGGGTGGAGAGGGCGAGCAGCAGGCGCAGCACGGGGGCAACGAGGTGAGCGAAGCAGAGAGACTCCGAAGGCACGTCCAGAGATGACAGCCCCACTGGGGGCGGTGCCAGGTAGGATGCCTCCTGGGGGGTGGGAGGCGGTGGGGTGGGGTGGTGTTCACAGGGGTGGAGGTAGAACCGGACCAATGGGTGTTGAGAGATCCAGCATGGAAGCGCAAACAGTGGGGGCAGAAGAGGGGAGACGAGGTGGGAGAAGCAGAGCGACTCGGATGGGGGCGCCTGGGTATGAGAGACCCACTGGGTCGGGTGTGGGGCGAGTTGAGCAGAGAACTTTGACCCCGCACAATACATTGGCAAGTGTTGTGCGGCATGGCATGGTATGTGAGTGAATGCAGTGCAGTGGGGTGCAGTACAGTGCGGTGCAGTGCGGTGTGGTGCGGCGCAGTGCGGGGGGGGGGGGACTGACAGAAACAGGGGCGTCGAGGGAGGGGCATGCAGCCATGGCGCGGAGGAATCCCGCGTTGAGCAGCAGCAGCAGCCCTTGGCGCCCCGTGGCCGCCGCCATGGCCAGCAGCAGTGCCAGCCGCGCCTCCGTCACGAACGCCTGGCGCTGTGCGTCGGCCGAGGGCAGCAGGAGCACCTGTTGGGCAGGGGGTTCCGGGGGGGAGGGGAGGGGGAGGGAAGGGGAGGGGAAGGGGAGGGGAAGGGGAGGGGTGGTGTGAGAGCAGCAGCGACAGGCGCGCCTCGTCACGAATGCGTGGCGCTGGGCATCTGCTGCGGGGAGTGGCAGCACCTGCGAGAGGGGGATTAGCAGGGAGAGGAGAAGAGGGGGTCGGGACAGTGGAAGTATGAGGGTGTAGTACGTCGGAAGTCCAGGAGTGGGGAATGGTAAGGGATAGACTGCAGCCCCATGTAAGAAGCTGTGCAGATGGCACTTAATATAAACGGTGCAGCGAGTTGAATTGAACTCAGTCAATTCAGCTGCAGCACTGCACCGATCAAGGTTTCACACATGCCATGCCACGCACCTCTGAAATCCCCTTGCTGACGTCAGCTATGCACGCCTGCACCATTCCGTGCGCCTGCATCTGACTCAGCACAGCCGCTGCTGACGTGGACGCCACCGCTAGTGCTGACGTCATCCCTGGCGCCAAATCCGGCAATCGCCCGAATCCAATTGGCAGATTCTGATTCTGCCCACCGCCCACGGATTGCGCAAAAATGCTCCGGTGGTCCCGTCCAGCTGTCGCGATTCCATTGGTCGGCGCCAGGCTGGCGGAGGCCGCGATTGGGTCAGCGGAGTGGGAGAGGAGGGATGAGAGGGCGGCGAGTGCGAGGGAGCGAGTGAGGGGGGAGGGGGAGGAGGAGGCGTCGTGGGAGAGAGTGCGGATGAGAGTGGGCAGGTGGGGCGAGAGGAGGGCGTGTGTGGCCCGCTGCATCTCCCTGCGCTGCCGCTCCAACTGACAGGGAGGTGGCGGGAAAGGGGGTTCGGAGCAGAGAGAGGGGGGTGAGGAGCAGAGAGAGGGGGGTGAGGAGCAAAGAGAGGGGGGTGAGGAGCAGAGAGAAGGGGGTGAGGAGCAGAGAGAAGGGGGTGAGGAACAGAGAGAGGGGGGTTCGGAGCAGAGAGAGGGGGGTGAGGAGCAGAGAGAGGGGGGTGAGGAGCAGAGGGAAGGGGGTGCGGAGCAGAGGGAAGGGGGTGAGGAGCAGAGAGAGGGGGGTGAGGAGCAGAGAGAGGGGGGTGAGGAGCAGAGGGAAGGGGGTGCGGAGCAGAGGGAAGGGGGTGAGGAGCAGAGAGAGGGGGGTGAGAAGCAGAGAGAGGGGGGTGAGGAGCAGAGGGAAGGGGGTGAGGAGCAGAGAGAGGGGGGTGAGGAGCAGAGAGAGGGGGGTGAGGAGCAGAGAGAGGGGGGTGAGGAGCAGAGAGAGGGGGGTGAGGAGCAGAGAGAGGGGGGTGAGGAGCAGAGAGAGGGGGGTGACTCGTGAGGAGCAGAGAGAGGGGGGTGACTCGTGAGGAGCAGAGAGAGGGGGGTGAGAAGCAGAGAGAGGGGGGTGAGGAGCAGAGAGAAGGGGGTGAGGAGCAGAGAGAGGGGGGTGAGGAGCAGAGAGAGGGGGGTGAGGAGCAGAGAGAGGGGGGTGAGGAGCAGAGAGAAGGGGGTGAGGAGCAGAGAGAGGGGGGTGAGGAGCAGAGAGAGGGGGGTGAGGAGCAGAGAGAGGGGGGTGAGGAGCAGAGAGAGGGGGGTGACTCGTGAGGAGCAGAGAGAGGGGGGTGACTCGTGAGGAGCAGAGAGAGGGGGGTGACTCGTGAGGAGCAGAGAGAAGGGGGTGAGGAGCAGAGAGAGGGGGGTGAGGAGCAGAGAGAGGGGGGTGAGGAGCAGAGAGAGGGGGGTGAGGAGCAGAGAGAGGGGGGTGAGGAGCAGAGAGAGGGGGGTGAGGAGCAGAGAGAGGGGGGTGAGGAGCAGAGAGAGGGGGGTGAGGAGCAGAGAGAGGGGGGTGAGGAGCAGAGGGAAGGGGGTGCGGAGCAGAGGGAAGGGGGTGTGGAGCAGAGAGAGGGGGGTGAGGAGCAGAGAGAGGGGGGTGAGGAGCAGAGGGAAGGGGGTGCGGAGCAGAGGGAAGGGGGTGAGGAGCAGAGGGAAGGGGGTGCGGAGCAGAGGGAAGAGGGTGTGGAGCAGAGGGAAGGGGGTGAGGGGAATCCTCACCCCTCACCCCCCGGTTGATTGACACGTCATGCTCATCGGGGGGTGCGGAAGTTGTTTTGTGCAACATGTGTGGTGGTGAATGCATGTGTGATGGTGAATGCATGTGTGATGGTGAAGGCATGTGTGATGGTGAATGCATGTGTGATGGTGAATGCATGTGTGATGGTGAATGCATGTGTGATGGTGAATGCATGTGTGGTGGTGAATGCATGTGTGATGGTGAATGCATGTGTGATGGTGAATGCATGTGTGATGGTGAATGCATGTGTGATGGTGAATGCATGTGTGATGGTGAATGCATGTGTGATGGTGAATGCATGTGTGATGGTGAATGCATGTGTGATGGTGAATGCATGTGTGATGGTGAATGCATGTGTGATGGTGAATGCATGTGTGATGGTGAATGCATGTGTGATGGTGAATGCATGTGTGATGGTGAATGCATGTGTGATGGTGAATGCATGTGTGATGGTGAATGCATGTGTGATGGTGAATGCATGTGTGATGGTGAATGCATGTGTGATGGTGAATGCATGTGTGATGGTGAATGCATGTGTGATGGTGAATGCATGTGTGATGGTGAATGCATGTGTGATGGTGAATGCATGTGTGATGGTGAATGCATGTGTGATGGTGAATGCATGTGTGATGGTGAATGCATGTGTGATGGTGAATGCATGTGTGATGGTGAATGCATGTGTGTGAGTGGACTCAGAAGGTCACAGAATGGCAGGCTGTGCATGCGACTGAGTGGAAGGTCGAGCGCAGGGAAGGAAAGGAGGGAGCGTGTGTGTGTTGGGGGGGTGGGGTGTGGGGGGTGGAGAGAAGGGGTGAGTGGGGGGTTGAATTGAATGTGAGAGAGATTGGTGGCAGGGACACACGTGGAGAGCACACCCGCGCTCTCCCACACCCCCCCTTTCCCCTCATCCTCTCCCTTTCCCCCTGTTCCCAGAACCCACCATATCCAAGGAGTGGTCGCAGGATGCCTCTTTCCCGAGGAAGGTTGAAGCTCTTTGAGGTTGGCAGGGCAGCCATAACTGACAGCTGTCGACATGTTCTTTTGGAGCTTAATTTTGACAATTTAAAAAAATCGACCTTCAAGAATATGGTAAAGCTTCACCCCCCTCCCCGCCGTGTCCCCCTCCCCAACACCCCAACCCAATCCTCCCACCAACACCCACCCACCATTTCCAGGGAGCGGTCAGAGGAGGTCTCTTCCTCCCCTTCCCAGCATCCCACCTCCCCCCCTTCCATCCCAACCCCCCCTTTCCCCCCCACCATCAGCAACGAGCGCACCATATCAAGGGAGCGGTCAGAGGAAGTTTCTTCCCCGGGCAGCTCCTTGAGAATGACGGCCATGACAGCTGGCGAGATATCCACGTCAGCACTGCGGAAGCGGCGCGCACAGATGGCGAGGAAGGTGAGGAGTGACGTGTAGAGCCTGGCGGGGGATAGAAGGGGGGGGGGGAGAGGGGTGGGAAGCGGGGAGAGGGGGGGAGAGAGGGGGAAGGGAGGGGGGAGCAGGGGGAGAGGGTGGCGATTGATGGAAGGATGGAGATGGAAGGGGTTGGAGGAGAAAGGGACAGTGGAGAGTGAATGTGAGGGAGAGAGGTGAGCTCATCATCACATCAGGCTGGCAGTGAGGTGCAGACCCTCCCACCTGCTCTCACCTCCTCCTGCCCCCCACTCACTCCTCCCAGCTCCCAACTCACCCCCGCCTGCCGCCCACCCACCTCCTGCCGTCCACTCACCTCATCCTGCTGCCCAATCACCTCCTCCTGCCGCCCACTCACCTCCTGCCGCCGCCCACTCACCTCCTGCCGCCGCCCACTCAACCCTCCTTGCCGCGCACTCACAGCCTGTGACCCACGCACCTCCGGCGGAGGCTATCAGAGGAGTCCTTCCGCATGAGCGCGCCCAGCAGGTCCCTCAGCAGCCCCGTGCTCTCCGCCACTGACACCTGCCTCCGAGGCCCCCCGCCCCCTGCCCCACTCGCCCCGCCTCCTAGCCCCTCCCTGCTGCTTGTGTCGGAGAGGGACGAGTGGCCAATCACGTCGCTCCACGTCACCTCGCCCGCGTCGTCAGAGGAGGGAGTGTCAATGGAGGTGGGCGAGGAGGAGGAGGAGAGGTGCTGCAGCTGCAGGAATGCCACTAGGACCACCTGAGGCGAGGTGGAGCGCAGGTGAGCAGAGGAGGGGGGGAGAGAGGAGCGTAGGGGAGGAGCAGAGGGGAGAGAGGAGTGGATGGGAGAGAAGATGAGGTGAAGGGGTGGCGGAATTTGGAAAGTGAACGACCAGAGGTCCTGTGGCGCACACGTGGGAAGGTGCTACAGGTGAGAGACAGCACAGGGGCGAGAGAATGGGAAACGAGAGGATACAAGGGAAGGATGCTGTCCGGAAAAGAACAATCACAATGTCACATGGCAGTAGGTGACATGGCAGCAGGTGACATGGCAGCAGGTGACATGGCAGCAGGTGACATGGCAGTAGGTGACATGGCAGTAGGTGAGATCACATGGCAGTAGGTGACACCACATGGCAGCAGGTGACACCACATGGCAGCAGGTGACACCACATGGCAGCAGGTGACACCACATGGCAGCAGGTGACACCACATGGCAGCAGGTGACACCACATGGCAGCAGATGACACCACATGGCAGCAGGTGACACCACATGGCAGCAGGTGACACCACATGGCAGCAGGTGACACCACATGGCAGCAGGTGACACCACATGGCAGCAGGTGACACCACATGGCAGCAGGTGACACCACATGGCAGCAGGTGACACCACATGGCAGCAGGTGACACCACATGGCAGCAGGTGACACCACATGGCAGCAGGTGACACCACATGGCAGCAGGTGACACCACATGGCAGCAGGTGACACCACATGGCAGCAGGTGACACCACATGGCAGCAGGTGACACCACATGGCAGCAGGTGACACCACATGGCAGCAGGTGACACCACATGGCATTCACTACCTGGGAGATGGGCTTGGCGAGGGTGAGGGGAGTGTGAGGCGCAGCGATGGCTCTAAGACACGCAGAGAGCAGCCTGCACGCAGCGCAGCAGGGGGAGGGAAGCTCGCCATTATACACATCGGGACGAGGGTGCTGACGCAAAGAAGAGAAACAATCCTGGTGAAAAAAAAGTAAAAAAAAGAGTAGATGGTGGGTGGGACAGGCAGGCAGGCAGGCAGGCAGGCATGGCGACTAAAGCCCAGACTCACTGCAGCAAGGCTTCCAGCCTGGCATGTGGTGGCAGCAGATCAAATCTTCTGGAGAGAGCCATTTGCAGCAGCTGCGCCCACGCGAGAGCCACATGCTGCTGCGCTGCTGCCTCCTCCTCCACTCGGTTGCGCCGCCACACGAACCTCAACGCCTCCCTCACTGCCTCCTGCCGCACCTCTGCCGAACCTGCTGCCGAGCCTGCCACCCCCAGGTTAGGGCCTGGGAGAAACGGTGCTCCCGGACCTCGCTGTGCTTCCAGCAAGGCAAACCTCTGATGGCCAATCCAAACCATGTCACATCGTGCCATGCCATGCCATGCCATGCCACACCATATCATGCCATGCGATGCCATAACACAAAAGACGGGGTTGCGAATGAGATGGTAAAAAGGAGTGGGCTCGATCGCAGATGCTAAAATAGGAAAAGGGGGTAAGATTGAAAGCAGGTAAAGCGAGGGTGGGAGAGGATTGTTTAGTGACAGTATCAGAAAGCATTTCAATGAGTATCAGCATGCACATGGGTGAGGATGTGGGAGACAGCACGCACATGGGTGAGGATGTGGGAGAGAGCACGCACATGGGTGAGGATGTGGGAGAGAGCACGCACATGGGTGAGGATGTGGGAGAGAGCACGCACATGGGTGAGGATGTGGGAGAGAGCACGCACATGGGTGAGGATGTGGGAGAGAGCACGCACATGGGTGAGGATGTGGGAGAGAGCACGCACATGGGTGAGGATGTGGGAGAGAGCACGCACATGGGTGAGGATGTGGGAGAGAGCACGCACATGGGTGAGGATGTGGGAGAGAGCACGCAGGTCCACAAGGCGGTCGCCCCTCTCATTCACTTCAAACACGCCCCCCTCCGCCACTCCTGCTGCGGTCCCCAACAGCTCCTCCAGCTGCGGTGGGTAGTGTAGGAGGGAAGCGACAAGGGGAGAGTGTTAGATTATAGCATGCATATGGCTAGACCTAACAGTGTACACCCAAAACATGGGTGTACACATTCAGGAGGTCTCCCAACTTTTGGTTGGGTTCCCACAACCCAAGCAACCATCATTGTTGGGGAGCCAACATTGGTGCCCAACCCTCCAATGTTTGGCTCCTCCAATAATTGGCGCAACCACAATTATTGGGCTGAACCTCCACCACATTGGTCAACCAATAATGGTGGGGGGTAACCCTAGTTTTGGTCACTCACTATTTGTACTGCTCTTCTTTCTCAATATGCCAACTCTTGAGTTCACCTCTCATCCCAACTATGGGATTCTCACAGAGGGGAGTGCGGGGGTGGGTTGGGGGGAGGAGGTTTGGGGAAAGGTGAGGCGTGAAAGATGGTGAGAAGGGGAGGCTGAGGGCCGTGAGCTCGTCCTTTCAGACTTTCAAGCACACCTCTAGCACCCACTGTTTCTGCCATTCCCTTCCCAGCACCCCCTCCAGCCCAAATGGCACGAGAGGCGAGAAGGGAGACGAGAGGGTGACCCGCGCGAGAGCACCCTAGTCAGTCACTATGAATCTAAAGCATGCAGCGTTGCTGCTGTGCCTCTAACGCATGCACCTGGGGGAGGGAGGGAGATCACCTGCAGCTGGTGGTGCACGGCAGCGATGTGCGGCAGGAAGCTGGGGGTGACGTCCGGCAGGGCGAAGAGGAACAACTCCAACAGCTGAGTCGCCTGCCATGCCATACCAGGGGCGCGTGCAGCAGTGGAGGGGCGTGTGCAGCAGTAATGGGGTGGGTGGGAGGGAGGGGGTGCAGGAGGGGCGAAAAGGACGATGTAAGCAGTCAGTATGTAGCACAGTGACGAGGGCTCGAGCCGCGAGGTGCCTCCACACTGCAAAAACGGTGTGAGAGGCGCGTGTGTGGACCAAGTTTGAACAAGAAAGCGCGAGCAACACAAACTGGCAGCCCGATTCATCAGAAGAAAACGGAAAGTCTCATCCCTCGCCAGCCCAGTGGCACCCCTGCTTGCTATGAGTCTTGCTCATGCCTACTGTGACTCACCGCCAGCACACCTCCCCTCACACCCTCTGCCTGCTGCTCCCCTCCTCCCCACACCACCAGCGCACCATTCCCCCCTTCCCCCACTTCCTCCGCCCCCCCTACACCCCCGTCTGCCATGAACAGTGCCGACAGAATCTGCCGGCAGATCTCCAGCTGCCGCCCAGCGGTGGCGGAGTGGGCGGCGTGGTGGGAGTGGTGGTGCTTGTGGGCGTGCGGGGCAGGGGGCGTTGTGTGGAGGGCCAACGCCAGCAGCTTCAGCAGCCACGCTCGCTGCAGGGAGGGGCGAGGGGTGTTGTGGAGGGGGGATGGGGGTGAGGGGTGAAGGGCGAGGGGTGAGGGGAAATGTGAGGGCGAGGGGTGAGGGTTGAGGCCTGAGGGTCGAGCGCTGAGGGTCGAGCGTTGAGGGTCGAGCGTTGAGGGTCGAGCGTTGAGGGTCGAGGGGTGTTGGGTGAGTGAGTGAGGGAGCGAATTGTTCCGGAGGAAGGGATGGGGGAGAGGGAAGGAGAATGGGAAATCCCATAGGAAAATAAAACACTGCTACGGGAAACCGCACAGACACACACAGAGTCGAGTCATCATGGGTCAGCACAGAAGAAAGCATGCAATGTACTGGGTAGGTAGGTAGGTAGGTAGGTAGTAGTGGTGCGCTGGCGATCGTCGTGAGGGCAATCGCAAACATGCACCCCACCAATGGCTAGTACCCGGACCGGACGCCTCACAGCCCCCCAGATTTCAAAAGGTAATCCTCGATTTGATTCTTCACCACACCCACAGCTCACTCACCCCACCCAGCGCTGTTCACCCCTCCCACACCTCACTCACCTCATGCAGGGCCGCCACGCGGTGGCCGGGGCTGCTGCTGCGGCGAGGGAGAGGCGCTGAGAGCGCGGAGGAGAGCAGCGGAGCAAAGAAGCTCAGCGGCTTTGCCTGCAGCAGCACTGCCGTGGGTGCTGATGTGGCGGGGTCTGCTGCTAGGTGGTACAGCACTCGCACGCTCATCTCCCGCAGGCGTGCCAACCGCAGGCTGACACGTGGCGGTGCGGTGGCGTCTGATTGGTCGGAGTCTGCGTCTGCTCCTGTGGAGAGCACGAGGTCGAGGAGAATGCGGAGGGCGCTGGCAGGGGGCGTGGGGGGGGGATCGGGGGGCGGGAGGTGGGGAGGGAGTGGAGTGGGAGTGGAGTGGGAGCGGGATGGGGTTAGTGGAGGGGGATGAAGTGAGAGGGAGGAGTGGAGGGGAAGAGGTGGAAAAGACAGGAAGGGGAGGGAGAGGAAGGTTTGTTGGTAATATGTAAGAGCAGGTGCATGCATGGGCAAGAGCACTTGGAGCGAGCTAGGGTTGGAGAAGGAAGGAAGGAAGTGAGATGCGCCGTGGAATTGATGGCATACGCCGGACTTGATGCAGCACATGCAGACAGCAGAAACCATAAGGACTAGTTGATTTGGACTTACAGACTTCAGAACGCACCAGAGCAATAACACCACAGTTGCTGGCACCTCGGCCAGCTGTCCACACGGCCCACCTGAAGCGGCGGTTGGGCTGCAGCAGGGAGGCAGCGAGCGGCCTGTCGACATCAAACCCCAGCAGCATGTGCGCCAATGTGGGCCGCTGCCTCCCTAGCGACGCCAGCAGCAGCTGCGCGGAGCAAGGGCGTTGAGATGAGAGGGAGGTGAGATGAGAGGGAGGTGAGACGAGAGGGAGGTGAGACGAGAGGGAGGTGAGACGAGAGGGAGGTGAGACGAGAGGGAGGTGAGCACAGTAGGCGCATTGGACAGACGAAACAGCCACGGGGTGGAAAGCACGGAATGGGTTGTCCGCCTTGCTAGGGTGCTGTGCTGCTAGCATTCATTGACTGTGCTGCTAGCATTCATTGACTGTGCTGCTAGCATTCATTGACTGTGCTGCTAGCATTCATTGACTGTGCTGCTAGCATTCATTGACTGTGCTGCTAGCATTCATTGACTGTGCTGCTAGCATTCATTGACTGTGCTGCTAGCATTCATTGACTGTGCTGCTAGCATTCATTGACTGTGCTACTAGCATTCATTGACTGTGCTGCTAGCATTCATTGACTGTGCTGCTAGCATTCATTGACTGTGCTGCTAGCATTCATTGACTGTGCTGCTAGCATTCATTGACTGTGCTGCTAGCATTCATTGACTGTGCTGCTAGCATTCATTGACTGTGCTGCTAGCATTCATTGACTGTGCTGCTAGCATTCATTGACTGTGCTGCTAGCATTCATTGACTGTGCTGCTAGCATTCATTGACTGTGCTTGCCACGCGGACTCACTCACCTGGAGAATGAGCGTGGCACAGTCCGTCTCCTCGCCCTCCTCCCCGCCTTCCTCCTCCTCTCCTCCACCATCCACAGTCGCGCCACTAGCGTCACCATGAGCAGCAACGCCCTGTACAGAGACGGTGCTGGCACTAACGTCAAGGCACTCTGCAAAGTCCTCCACCAATCGCTGCACCATGCCCACCTCCAATGCCATCGCGACAAGTGGCACGCCACGCGCACTGTAAGCGGTAGGGGCAAGAGGATGCAGCAGGAGGGTGAAGTGAAGAGGAAAGCTATCTCCATTCCGGTTGAGTAGAAACCACTTTGCAAAAGCCACCTGGTCATGGTGTGATCTGATCAATGCTGGCCTCCATGTGCCAGCACACAGGCACACACAATCCACCACTAGTTGCGGCCACAACACGCTCTCACGCCATCTGCTGCCTCACGCCATCTGCTGCCTCAACACACAACACGGGGCGGCCAAAAAGCTGGCCTGCACTGGTGGAAACACAGAGCGCTTCTTCCGGCCCACAACCACGAGTCCCACGAGGCTCATGAGTCAAGAAAAGCGCTTCTTACAACCACAAGGCTGAGGTGAGGTGCAGTCCGGTTACGAGTCAAGAAAGCAATCACCCGAAGCCGCGGGGCAGGTTCCCCCTCATCCATAGGCCATGGGTCACCTGAAGACGCTTGTGAGCTCGATTGCCGACCGTTGGATGGCATCTGACGGCTGGTAGCGCACGAAGGACATGACAGCTGTCACGAGCACCATGTCATCCGCGAGCACGAGGTGCAGCGGGCGCACGGCGGGCTGCCAGGTGTCGGCCAGGGATTGGTCGAGGGAGAGCGCGAGGAGCAGCAGGCGCAGGCAGGCGGCAACGGTGTCTTCTAAGGCGAATGAGAGCGCCTGGGGGCGCAGCGCACGCTCCTCTAGAAGCGCATCGGGGCCCGCTGTGATGATGGCGATGATGTTGCGCAGTGCTGGGCCTGCTGATAGGAAATCCTGTTGGGGGAAAAGGGGAGGATGGGGAAAGAGTGGAGGATGGGAAAAGAGGGACAGTGTGTTGGAGGGCGAATGCGAACGCCTGGGGGCGCAGCAGGGCCCGTTCCTCCATGAACGCGTCTGGGCTGCCTGTGATGATGGCATTCATGTAGCGCAGCGCTGCGCCTGCTCATAGGAAATCCTGTGTGGGGGGAAGAAAGAGGTAGAGGGAAAAGGGGAGGGGAAGGTGGGAGCGCAAAGGGGCAGAAGGCGGAGTCACTTTGAGAGGCTTTACAAGTGACTCCAGCATGGCAGCAACGGTGTGTTTGAGGGCGAATGGGAGCGCCTGGGGGAGGGTGCAGCGCAGTGCTCGCTCCTCTAGGAGGGCGTCGGGGCCGGCTGAGATGATGGCGATGATGCTGCTTGCGCAAGGTGGGGCCTGCTCATAGCAGTCCTGTGTTGGAAGAGAGAATTGATGCATTGAATAATGAGCCAGGAGGCCCTTTAGTACAAACAATGAGCAAGAGAGAGATGAGAGGGAAGCTTATCCTATTGGTCAATAAGTTGGCCAATGGGTGAGCTTGCTTGTGGCCCTAGCAACCACAAATGTGTGTTGGTTGGGATTGGTTGAGCTAAGGACCAATCCCCACCGACCACAAAATGTGGTAGGAGGGTACACCAAACAACCCCCCAATTTATAAGAGTGCTACACATCTAGTTCTAGCCTATGTATGTTGTATCAAATATGAAAGTACAACATCCTGTAGGGGTGCAGAGAGGGGAAAGGGAAAGGGGGGACAGTGGGCTGAAAGTTGAGAGGGTTGTGGGGATAAGAGAGGGGCGGGAGGGGGAAACGTAGGCGGGAAAGGGGCGCATAAGGAGCTTGAGAGGGGCATGAGGAGCTTGAGTGAGAGGGGCTGGGTCGAATTGCATGTGGTGGGGATGAAGGTGTGGGTCTGTGGTTAACTGGCGCAGGCACTCTCACAGTGCAGGTGAAGGTGAGAGCAACACAAACTGGTGCACACTTGCATGTGAGCTGCATGCACTTGCATGTGAGCTGCATGCACTTGCATGTGAGCTGCATGCACTTGCATGTGAGCTGCATGCACTTGCATGTGAGCTGCATGCACTTGCATGTGAGCTGCATGCACTTGCATGTGAGCTGCATGCACTTGCATGTGAGCTGCATGCACTTGCATGTGAGCTGCATGCACTTGCATGTGAGCTGCATGCACTTGCATGTGAGCTGCATGCACTTGCATGTGAGCTGCATGCACTTGCATGTGAGCTGCATGCACTTGCATGTGAGCTGCATGCACTTGCATGTGAGCTGCATGCACTTGCATGTGAGCTGCATGCACTTGGATGTGAGCTGCATGCACTTGCATGTGAGCTGCATGCACTTGCATGTGAGCTGCATGCACTTGCATGTGAGCTGCATGCACGGCCTGCCTGCCTCCCCCCACCCACCTTCATCAGCAGCAGCCCCGGTGTGGCGCCAGCTGGCAGCAGCCCATTGGCCGACGAGGAGGAGGCAGCAGAGAGGGCGGCGAGAGGCGGTGCGGAGGGGAGGGGGGAGCGGTGCAGGAGGAGGAGGGAGAGGTGGAAGAGGGAGAGCGAGGCGAGCAGCAGCTGCCACATCTCGTCTGCCCGCGCGTACACTCGGCGCGTGTACGGCACAAACACACTGCTCGTCACGAACCGGAAATAGTCCAGGAACCTGTGGGCGGGCGGCATGGGTGGGTGTGGGCGGCATGGGTGGGTGTGGGCGCGATGGGTGGGTGTGGGCGGCATGGGTGGGGGTGGAAGGGTGGTGAGGTAAGAGGAGCAGAGCAGAACAAATGCTTGGAAAGGAAATGCTTAGAAGCGACTCAGGTAAGGAATCGATGATGGAAGGTGGATAAAAAGAAACCAACAATGAATGACAAAACTGAAATGAAGGGGAAGGGAGGTCGAGAAAGTAGGGCAAGTGGCAGAGAGGAGGGAAATGAGAGACCTGGCGGGGCGGGAGAGGGGGTCGAGGGCGAGCAGTGTGTTGTGCAGGCGCAGATAGGAGAGCGTTGAGGGGTACTCCTCCACCCTCGCCTCCACCTCGCTCAGCTCCATGCCCATGTCGTATGGCGCTGTCGCGCGGCGCTGCACGGGGAGAGGGGGGTGGTGCGGCGGTGGGGCAAGGCATAGAATTAGCATCACACAGATACGCGCAGCACACGGAGGGGTACTCCTCCACCCTCGAAACCCCCTCGTTGAGCTCCATGCCCACATCGCATGGCGCTGTAGTGGGCGCTGGAGAACGGGGGGTAGTGGTGGGGTGCAGCATGGCATGGCATGGCATGGCATGGCAGCAAGTGCAGGGAGGGGTACTACTCCTCCCTCGCCTCCCCTTGTTAAGCTCCATGCCCATGTCGCATGGCGCTGTAGCGGGCGCTGCATGGGGAGAGAAATGGGAGTAGCGTGGCATGGCACAAGGTGTGTGTCACTATCACACCACATCACATCACACACTCACACAACATGACATGATATGAAAAGAGGGGTGCTACGCTAGCCATGCTTGCTCCCTCCCCCCTCCTTCACCTCCAGCAGTGCCACGCCAAGGCCGTAGGGCACTGGGGAGAGGAGCGCAGGAGCGCATTGGTGACACGACGACAGAGCAAGGGGAATGGATAGTGGACAGTCAATGCACGAGGGGCAAGTGGGGATACTTGGAGGTGGACTGGCCGGTGGGGAGAAGAAAGGGGACACATGCGTGAAAGAAACTGAAATTATATTCTAACAGTGCGTGCAGAGCGGGGAACATGTGGGAGCGGATTGGGTTACCGTGTTGTGGTTTGTCGAGCCCGAGTCAAGAGCAACGTGCAGTGCAGAAAACAACCCCTCCCTCCCCAGCCCGCTCTCACCTGCTCCATCGCCCCCCATGGCTGGGAGTCAGCAGCAGGCGAGGCAGCATCCGCGAAGGAGGGTGGGAGAGGTTGCAAAATTCATCCAATGTCCATACGCACACAGAAAGACAGGCATACAGAGGAGCACGACTGTACACACACATGAGCACGCCCATACACGCCCATACACGCCCATGCACGCCCATGCACGCCCATACACGCCCATACACGCCCATACACGCCCATACACACATACTACTACGTGCCTGTTGCTCCTCCAGGGTCGCAGAAGCCGAGGGCGGCAGATCGTAGAATTCCTCCAGCGCCCATGTCCTTGCTGCCAGCGCTGCCGCCGCCGCCCCCGTCAGCCCCGCCGCTGCTGCCGCCACTGCCATCAAATCCCCTGCTGTCGCCCCTCCACCAGCAGCACCAGCAGCCGCTCCTGCTGCCATGGCACCACTGAAACCAGCCGCTGCTGTGGTGGCCCTAGCAGCAGGGGCTGTGGAGGTGGTGAGCGCAGCAACGGTGGCGGGGGCGCCGAGGAAGGCAGCAATGGCGGAGCGGAGGGCGCCCTTGAGGGCGGGGGGGACGGCGGCGTGGGGGAGCAGGCGGAAGAGCGCGTCAAAGAAGGCGTCGGAGAAGAGGCGCGTGCGCAGGGGCGGGGGCGAGTGGCGCAGCACCTGGTGCAGACACATGAGGTATGCCTCCAGCACTGCCGCGTCCTCTGGGGGGAAGAGGGAGCTGTGGTGCTGCTGCTGGTGATGGTGGTGCTGGTGGTATGGCAGGGAGGGGTCCTGGAAGGCTTGGCGCAGGCGATCGTCGTATGCCTGGGAGGGGTGGGGAGGGAAGGATAGAGAGACGTTTGGCTGTGAGGAGGGAAGGATAGAGAGACGTTTGGCTGTGAGGAGGGAAGGATAGAGAGACGCTTGTGTTAGAATACCATCCTCACTTGTAACCTGCATCTATCCTATAAGCTTCGGCTAGAGGTAGACACCCAAATGTAGTTTGGGTGTAAAACTAGGGCTAACCCTAGTTGGGGGTTGGAACTCAACACTTGGCCCAATTATTTGGCCCCCAAGGTTTGGTTGGGAATTATTGGCCCCCCCCAATAATGTTGAACCACCTTTGGTCAACATTATTGGTCCCCCCAATAATTCCTCAACCCAACTTATTGGTGGGGGCCAATAATGTTGGCTAGGTTCCCCACCAAACCATCCCTCCTAGCACAACTATGAATACCCCCTCTATTCCTAATATCATCGATGGTTCTTCCTCACGTTTTCTGACATGGTAATCAGAGCTACAACGGTTAACACCGTCTCTCGATCCTAAGGACCACACCTAACGCGTGCCGTATCACGCCCCTCCCCCCTCTCTCACACGGCTCTTTGCCGCTCTTCGCGCCTAAGTTGCGCTATTACGCCTTCACTGCCCCCCTCCCCCCTCGTACTCACGCACTCTCCCGTGCCTCCCCCGCACAAGTTCCGTCCGGCAGCCCGCTTCCTCCCCCCTCCCCTCCCCTCCCTCACCGCGGCGCATCCCGCCGACGAGGGCGGACGCGACCGCCGCGGCGATTTCCGCCGACGGACGGACACCCGCGGGCGACGAGGCGCATCCGCGGACGGACGCGCACCCGCGGGCGACGAGGCACATCCGCGGACGGACGCGCACCCGCGGGCGACGAGGCGCATCCGCGGACGGACGCGCACCCCCGGGCGACGAGGCGCATCCGCAGACGGACGCGCACCCGCGGGCGACGAGGCGCATCCGCGGACGGACGCGCACCCGCGGGCGACGAGGCGCATCCGCGGGCGGACGCGCACCCGCGAGCGAAGAGGCGCATCCGCGGACAGACGCGCACCCGCGGGCGACGAGGCGCATCCGCGGACGGACGCGCACCCGCGGGGGACGAGGCGCATCCGCGGACGGACGCGCACCCGCGGGCGACAAGGCGCATCCGCGGACGGACGCGCACCCGCGGGCGATGAGGCGCATCCATGGACCGACGCACAGTCGCGGGCCACGAGGTGCAACCACGGGCGACACAAACACAGCTGCGTGTAACCCGGCGCCGCCACACGCAACGTGACCGCACCACCCTTCCAGGTGGTGTCGTCCTCTTTGACCGCACCCGCCCTCAAGCTGGTGTCGTCACCCCCTCCCCCCCCCCTCCCCTCCTCCTCCTCATGGCGGACGACTCCACTCCCATTGAGCTCGGAGCCATAGACAAGCTCGAACTTCTCCATGACACTACGGCCGTGAACTGGGCGTCGTTTGAAGATACGCTTCACACGCACCTTGGCTCCGTCATTATTCAAGACTACTGCCTTCTTCATGTAGTCCTCGAACACCCTAATGGCCTCCCGCTTGTTCTCCCCCCTCCCCTTGAACCTCCTCCCCCTGACGCCCCTCCTCCACCCGAGCCTCTTCCCGACCCCCCGCGTGCCCCAGTTCATGATGACAACCCGGATCACTGGGGGGCCAACCTGGACGCCTACAACAAGCTTCGCAACACTTACACTCTCCAACGTGAGGCGCACCATGTTGCGGAAGCATCACACGCTGATGCTACTACACGCATCCTCTCCTACGCTCAAGACGAAAAAGACTATGCTGAGGAGCTTCGCAAGATCCACAAGGATGTTGCAGCATGGCGCATTGCTGATCGTCGTGCACTCGCTATCATCTTCTCCTACATCCCCTCTCACCTCAAACGCGACCTTCGTCCCGCCTCCTCCTCTGGACTCTGGAAAACCCTCTCTACTCAGTACGACCGTCAGGACCTTCGCTCCCTCCTCGCCCTCTTTCGCAAATTCCAAGACATCACTCTTGACTCCTCCCCCACTGCTGCTGCCTACACCCGTCGCCTCATTCACACTGCGCAACGCCTCAATGACCGGGGCTAGGCATGAGCAGGGGGCGAACTCGAACATGTTCGTGTTCGCCCCCTGACGAACATGGCCTTCTGCCGAACCGAACAGTGTTCGGTTCGGCGAACGACTTGAGTGAAAATAGGTGTTCGCCGTTCGCCCTAGGAGGCGAACGAATTGCTGCAACAGGCGAACACGAACATGTTCGTGGCGAACATGTTCGTGTTCGCCCAGGGGGAAATTCAATATAGAGTAAAATTCAAATCGTCGAACATTCTCTCCCCCCACCTCCCAAGCCAGTCCCGCCCTGCTTCATCCATCTAGTGCCAGCGTGCAACGGCGAAATGCTAGATCCGCACTTAAGCAGAGGCGAAATGCTAGATCCGCACTTAAGCAACGACGAAATGCTAGATCTGCACTTAAGCAACGGCGAAATGCTCGATCCGCACTTAAGCAACGGCGAAATGCTAGATCCGCACTTAAGCAACGGTGAAATGCTCGATCCGCACTTAAGCAACGGCGAAATGCTCGATCCGCACTTAAACAACGGCGAAATGCTCGATCCGCACTTAAGCAACGGCGAAATGCTTGATCTGCACTTAAGCAATGGCGAAATGCTAGATCTGCACTTTACTAACTGCGAAAGGCCAGATCTGAGCCCAAACACCAAGGCCCGCGACCTAAAAATTGGTCGCGGGCCTATTCGTCGACGAACACATTGGTGTTTGTCGAAGGCCCGTGTCGAACACGAACACGTTCGTGTTCGACGCGCCTCGGCGAGCTGAGCCGGGCGAACGGCGAACGTGTTCGGGCGAACACCGAACACGTTCGCCCCGAACAATTTAGGCCAAAAAAAAATCCTGTTCGGTTCGCCTCGAACGTGTTGGAGGCGAACCGAACAGGAGTTCGTCATATTGCTCATCCCTAACCGGGGCATTGTCATCTCTGAGTCCCTTCTTACTGCACGCATCCTCGACTGCCTCCCTCCCACATATGACACCTACCGCATCACCTTCACCTCTCGCTACTGTCATCCTCCTCCTGTGGCTGACACCATCGAGTGGCTTCTTGACAACGAAGCGGACATTCAACCTGACTCTGCCACCGTCAATGTTGTCCAGACCCGCAAAGCTACCACAGGCAACCACAACTAGGGATGAGCAAAGGGCGAACACGAACATGTTCGTCTTCGCCCCTTGTCGAACACCCTCTTTTGCCGAACCGAACAGTGTTCGGTTCGGCGAACAGTTTAGGAAAAAACAGGTGTTCGCTGTTCGCCTGTGGAGGCGTGTTCGGGCGAACCTCGAACACTGTTCGTGTTCGTCGCGGGCAAATTTCAGCAGCGGCCCGAACACGAACGTGTTCGGGCGAACATCGAACACTGTTCGGCGAACGATTTGAGCTAAAAAACAAAACCTGTTCGGTTCGCCTCGAACACGTTCGAGGCGAACCGAACAGGTGTTCGCCACCTTGCTCATCCCTAACCACAACAGCGGAGCAGGTGGCGGCTCAGGCGGCGCCGGTAGTGGTGGTGGTGGACGTGGTGGCGGCCGAGGCGGAGGACGTGGTGGTGGTCGCAGTGGTGGCCGTGGCGTACGCGGCAGATACCCCTCACCCCTCACCTTCAGGCACCCTCCCCCCGTGTCAATACATCATCCGCTATGGCTCCATCAAAGGTCAGCCATGCTCTCAGACCACTCACACCACTGACACGTGCTTCAAAGCCCTCACTGACGAGTGGTTTGCACGTGGCAACGTTGGCACTCCACCTCGCTAGAACACTGTTTTCCCACGCCCCTCCATCCATGACATCCGCACCCTCCCCGCCTATCAACCCTCTACTCCCAACCTTCACAATGTCCTCACTCAGCATCTCCCATCTCACATCCTTCAACAAGTCCAGCATCTTCTCCCCTCCACCCCCACTCCCACCACTCCCACTCCTCTTCCATCCACACCTCCGCCTCCAGCCCCCCCCTTCACTACCTTCCACCCTATACTGGCTGGCCTTACCCTCCTTACCCACCTCGTGGATATGGTCATGGACCTATTGGACCTGCTGCTAATCTTGCTGAACAGCCCTCCTCCTCCTCCAACCCTCCTGGCTTTACTCCGTTCCCCTTTGCTGGATTCATAGGACATGTTAGCACTTCTCCTGCAGATTCTATGTATGCCCATGCTATTAATGAGTCTCTCTTCCAGTACTCCGCCTTTTCCTCCTCCTCTTCATGCCTTGAGTTTATCCTTGACAGTGGAGCGACACACACTGTTCTGCGCGATGCAGGCACACTGGTACCCCTCCCCACTCCCTCCACTATCCACGGAGCTGACTCCAGCTTCACCATCACAAGTCGACACACCTCCACCCTCCCCTGTCCCATCTTCCCCTCAGGTACAGTCACAGGTCTATACATCCCCTCCTTGCGCAACAATTTGGTAGCACTGTGTGACCTCACCAGGTTCAATATCACCGCCCTCTTCCGTGGTCATGCACGCCACTGCGACCTCTTTCACACCACCACTGGTCGCTTCATCTATCGCATTCCCCTCTGCCCTCGGACAAACCTGTACACGTACCGCACCCCTCGCACCTCCATTCACCACCTCATCGCCCCCACCTCACCCCTTCCCCTCCCCTCACCTCCGCTCCCCCTTCCCTCCCCTCCTCCCATCCCCTCCCCCATCCCCTCCCCCCCCCCTCCCCTCCCCTCCCTCCCCTCCCCTCCCCTCCCCTCCCCTCCTCCCCCCCTCCCCTCCCCCACCTCCTCCTGTCACTCTCGTGACCTCACCCACCCCGCAGTTCTCCTTCACCATAGGTTGGGTCATCCCAACTTTGCCACCCTCCGTCAAACTGTCTCCACCCAACTCCTCGACGGACTCCCCCTCACCCTTCCCCCTCTCCCCCCATCACCCTCCCCTCCCTGCTCAGTATGCGTTGAAAGCAAACTGAAACAGGCCCCCCACAAGAGTCATCCATCCCTTTCTCCCCAGCCTCTTGAGCTCGTCCACATGGACCTCTGGGGCCCCAACCCTTCCCCCACCAGGCAAGGTCATAAATACCTGCTCATCCTGGTGGATGACCACAGCCGCTACTCCTCCGTCTCCCTCCTTCGCACGAAGGCGGAAGCCCCGGCTGCTATTATTGCTTGGGCTGAACAAGCACGCACCCATTTCAAACGCCCTGTCTCCCGCTTCCACTCTGATGGCGGTGGTGAGTTCCTTAACAACATGCTCTCATCCTACTGCACCACTCGTGGTATTATTCACACCTACACCCTACCTCATTCCCCTCAGCAGAATGGCGTGGCGGAGAGTAGGGTCCGTGAGGTCACCAAAACTGCTCGGTGCCTCATGGTCCATGCCTCCTGCCCGCCCTCTCTCTGGGGCTATACCATCCTCCACGCTGCCATCCTTACTAATTTGTACCCTCATCCCTCCCGGCCCACCACCACTCCCACCGCACTCTGGACATCCAAAAAGCCCGACATCACCCCCCTGTGCGTGTGGGGTTCCAAGGCGTATGTTCTCATACACCCTGTCGACCACTCACGCAAAGCTGGGAAGCTAGCCTCCCGCACTCTCCCCTGCATTTTCCTTGGTCACAACACCTCCTCCCCGGACTATCTCTTCCTCCATCCCCCCTCAGGTCGCCTCATTCGTAGTCGGGATGTGGAATTCGATGAAGCCCACCCGTACTACACCTCCCCCAAAATCCCTAACCCCCTCCCTCTAACCACCCGTCCCCTCCTCTGGACTGACACCATTCCCCCCCCACCTCCTCTTCCCTCCCCTTCCCTTCTCCCCCCTCCCACCATTGTCCCACCTGCACCCCCACCCCCTCCCCACTCTCTCCCCGCCTCATCAGGAGACATCTTTGACCCCGTCCACCCTCCCTCCCCACCCGCTGCCCCTCCCCCTCCCCATCCCTCCCCACCCCCTTCCCCTCCCTCACTCGCTGCCCCTCCCCATCCCTCCCCTCCCCCTCCCTCCCCCCATACACAACATTCCCCACCTCCCCTCTCCCTACGCCCTCCCCCACTCACTCCACCTCCTTCCTCCCAGCCCATACTTCCCACTCCCCCTCTCATACTCCGCCACTACCCTCACACCAGGTCCACGGTCCCCATTCTCGGTACCCCAAGGTCCACCCCCCCCTCCATCCAGTCTCTCACATCCATCCCCCTTCCCCGCCACTATAGCACCTCCCCTCCCCCCCGCACCAGCCCCTCAGGTTTTCTCAGCAGTCGCGCTCCCGTATCTCTGCCCCTCACAGCAACTCAGCGAAGCCGAGCTGCATTGCAGCTGTCTCCCCGCCCCGACCCTCAGCGCAGCAGAGCACCAGTGCAGCTGTGTCCCCGCATCAGCCCGACCCTCCAGCGCAGCTGTCTTGCAACTCCACCGCCTTCTCTCCCTCCTCTCACTCCGGACCTCTCTGAGGACTCTCATGATGAGCTAATGTTCCTCCACCTCCTCTCACCCACCGTCGCCCCCGTAGTCCGCACAATGGCTGGCGCCACTGTTCTTCTTTTCTCCACCACCCCCACTATCTACAAACCCACCACCTATGAGCAAGCACTTGCCTGCCTTGATGCACCTCTTTGGATCGAGGCCATGGTCAAGGAGAGCAACGCCTTCATCAGCAACCGCTCGTTTATTGACGTTCCTCGTCCCTCTAAGCACAACGTGGTCAAAGGCAGGTGGCTTTTTCGAGTCAAACTACTCCCTAGCGACGCCTCGGTGTACAAGGCTCGATATGTGGCAAAAGGCTTCACACAGACTTATGGCTCAGACTTCTTCGAGACCTACTCACCCACCGCCACTCCACCGGTCATTCGCGCGTTTTTTTACTTTGTTGGGAGGCGTGGGATGATACTTCATTCCATGGATGTCACCACCGCCTTTCTACAAGGCGACCTTCACGAACTCATCTTTCTGGAATGACCCAAAGGCTTCCACGCCCCTCACGACCCTACCACTGTTTGGAAGCTGCTACGCCCTGTCTACGGGCTCAAACAAGCTCCTCGGGAATGGCACGCCAAACTCTCCTCCACCCTTCGCGCACTTGGCTTTCGCCCCTCCCGTGCCGCCTCCTGCCTCTTCCTGCGCCTCACCCCATAACCCTTCTTCATCCTCGTCTACGTCGACGACATGCTGCTGGCTGCTGACACAGCTGCTGAACTCCAGGAGGTCAAGGATGAGCTGCAGAAACGCCTCGCCTGCAAAGTCCTGGGGGAGGTCCGCAGCTACCTCGGCATGGAGATCACCCGCGACCTCACTGCCAAGACCATCACCCTCTCTCAGTCTTTTTACATCGAGAAGATTCTTGAGAGGTTTGGCATGAAAACCTGCAAACCCATCCCCACACCACTTGCATTCGGGCATCGGCTCTCCCCTCCCTCCACTCCCGTCACCTCCCCTCATCCCTATGCAAAACTTGTTGGGGCCCTGATGTACGCCATGGTCTGCACTCGTCCCGACCTTGCATACCCAGTCAGTATTCTGGCGCAGTTCGTTGCTGTGCTGTGTTGCGTTGGGTGGTGGAGTGCATTAACCACTCAACACACATACTTCACGGGCTGGGCCAGGGCCAGCCCAAGACCGGCCCTACCAAGCCGGCCATACCGAGCCGGCCCTCTTGTTGAGACGGCTCAACACGGGCCGTGGCCCTAGAACCATATGTGGACCATGCCAGGGCCGGCCTGGGCCAAGGCGCACAGACCCAAGGAGGGTTGCATGAGCTGCTAGGAAAGGGGCAAATGAAAGAGCCATGTTGCACGCGGCCCGCGGCCGGCCTGGCCCGCGGCCCAACCCGTGGTAATGCCTATACGACAATGGAATTACAACGGAGTCAGTTCAGCATAACATACCATGCCACACACATACCTGCAATGATTGCATCGCACCTGCAATGATTGCATCAGCGCATGCCAGCTGACAGACCGCAGATGCCGCCCATTCATGAGCTCATGAACTTGCCGAGAACCTTCCTCTCCGGTAGCCTGCATGTGGCACACGTGGAACAAGGAGTCACACAGAAGCAAAGCAAAGCAAAGAAAAACGGGTGCAGAACGGACAAGGGGTTGACTGGACCCGTGGAACCGAGTAGAACAAAATGGACAGAGGATAAGGAGTGACATCACATTGGCAGGTTGTGCTGCAGCGAGAGAAGCTGTAGCGATGAAAGAAGTGACTTTCAAGGAAGTCGAACGGAACCAGAGCACAAGGAGTCACATGGCCACGTTGTGCCGGGCAAGAAGCTCTACAGATAGATGATGATGAGCCATTTGCCGCACACACACACACACACACACACACACACAAACACACACACACACACAGCGCACACACACAGCGCACACACACAGGGCGCACACACAGCGCACACACACAGCGCACACACACAGCGCACACACACAGCGCACACACACAGCGCACACACACAGTGCACACACACAGCGCACACACACAGCGCACACACACAGCGCAAACACACAGCGCACACACAAAGTGCACACACACAGCGCACACACACAGCGCACACACACACACACACACACACACAGACACACACACAGCGCACACACACACACACACACACAGCGCACACACACAGCGCACACACACAGCGCACACACACAGCGCACACACACAGCGCACACACACAGCGCACACACACAGTGCACACACACAGTGCACACACAGTGCACACACACAGCGCACACACATAGCGCACACACACAGTGCACACACACAATGCACACACACAGTGCACACACACAACGCACACACACAGCGAACACACACAGCGCACACACACAGCGCACACACACAGCGCACCCACACAACGCACACACACAGTGCACACACACAGCGCACACAGTGCACACACACAGCGCAAACACACAGCGCACACACACAGCGCACACACACAGCGCACACACACAGCGCACACACACAGTGCACACACACAGCGCACACACACATCGCACACACACAACGCACACACACAGCGCACACACACAGTGCACACACACAGTGCACACACAGTGCACACACACAGCGCACACACACTGTGCACACAAAGTGCACACACACAGCGCACACACACAGTGCACACACACAGCGCACACACACAGTGCACACACACAGTGCACACACACAGCGCACACACACAGCGCACACACACAGCGCACACACACAGCGCACACACACAGTGCACACACACAGCGCACACACACAGTGCACACACACAGCGCACACACACAGTGCACACACACAGCGCACACACAGTGCAGTGCACACACACAGCGCACACACACAGCGCACACACAGTGCACACACAGTGCACACACAGTGCACACACACAGCACACACACAGTGCACACACACAGTGCACACACACAGTGCACACACAGCGCACACACAGCGCACACACAGCGCACACACTCACACACATGCACACACATGTACAGACAGCACAAAGCGCACACACATACACTCCGAATGCCTCTCGCTCCATACCCATCCCCCACTCCACTCCACAACGCCTGCACCAACAGGCTCACGCCCTCAGAGAAACAAGCAACCCCCCCTCGTGCTTCCCTCCCTCACGCCCAAAGTGCCACTCTACTTCCCTTCCCTCCCCCACCATCGCCATTCACTCCATTCACCCCTTGCCCTCTATCCCCATCCCATCCACACCTTCCCCTCCCCTCCATCCCCTCTCCCCTTCCCACTACCAGCTGCGTCAGCAGGTTCAGAAACGCCACCAGCGAGGCACCGCCCAACTCTCAACCCCGATGCGCACCGCCCAACTCTCAACCCCCATACACCCACCACAGCCCGCCACAGCACACCACTCCCCCCAATCGCCATTCTTCTCGCCCCACCGCCCTCCCTCCCATCCCCCCCCCCCCCCACCACCCACCAGCTGTGCCAGCAGGTTCAGAAACGCCACCAGTGACGCCGCCCCTCTATGCTCCTCGCCCACGTACATCACAAACTGCCAAAGCACGCCGCCCCCTGCCATCAGCTCCGGCTGGCGCGCATACACCGCCCCCACCAGCTGCAGCAACCCCAGATACGCCCTCCCCCTCACCGCCACCTGTTCCTGTGCCTCTGCCTCCTCCCTCTGCTGCTGCCTCTGCTCTCGCTCATCCTCCTCCTCTAAACTCCGAGCCACGCCGCGCCCCATGCTGTGGGGGTACGCGCCAGCTAAGCGCGCAGCCTTGTCCACGTCAGCGTGAGCTGGACGGCCGGAAGATGATGAGGCGGGGAGGAAAGGGAGGGAGAGGGAGGCGTGGCGCAACTCCCGGATTCGCTCGCGCGTGATTGGCTGGAGGAAGAAAGACGAGAGGAGCTTGTGGGTGTAGACCATGTAAGTGAACGTTAAATCCTCATCGTCGTTTTCAAACACGGCAGATGACAACACCTGCTGCAGCAGCAGCGTCGTGGCACTTAACAAAGTCTCGTCTTTTAAACACTCCCGAGCCACTGCCACCTCATCCCCAACCACATCCTCTCCCGAGCCTCCTGCCGCCAGGGCTGCCGCTGCAACCGAGCCTCGGGCGGAGGTTCGGGAGGGGGAGAGACTCGGGGCGGAGAAGGCTGGAAGAGTGCTGGTGTTGGCGAGGAACACGGCCCAGGCGAGGCGGATGACCGAGATGACGTCATCAGGAGCAGGGGGGGTGAGCGGCGAGGAGGTGGGTGGGGAGGAGGTGGAGGCAGAGGGGGAGGGCTGAGGGGGGAGGGAGAGCGGGCCGGATTGGAATGGGACGAGTGCGTGGGAGGATGAAGAGGCAGTGGCGGATGGTGTTGACTTAAGAACCTGATTTCGTGGGGAAAAGGGAGACAGACACACACATAGTGCGGGGCGGAGGTGATGGGAAGGGGAAAATGAAAGGTTCAGCCAAGATTTGTTGAAATTTCAACCAGACCGTTGGCCTTCACAGTAGACCGTTGGCCGTCACAGTAGACTGCTGGCCGTCACAGTAGACCGTTGGCCGTCACAGTAGACTGCTGGCCGTCACAGTAGACCGATGGCCGTCACGGTAGACTGCTGGCCGTCACAGCATCTGCCTCCAAAGTCCACCTGTAGAGGACCGAAGGCAGCGCCAGAGCACTTAGGTAACTTGTCTGCTCAACTCCCGGGAGCCCCACACTCAAACAAACCGTCATCGGCAACGGCAAGCTCAGCCCACCATTATACTCGACTCCTTGAGAAACGCCTCATTGGGTGCCAGCACAGCAGGCAGGGCCGCAGAGGGGGAGGGCGACGCAGGAGCAGCAGACGAAGGAGCAGCCGCCCCTCCAGTCCCCGCAGTACCCCCAGCAGCGGAGGAGAGCGGAGGCGAGGGAAGCAGAGAGCAGGGCGTGCAGCAGCGCGTACACGAGCGTGTAAGTAATGTGCAATGTAACTGCTGTTGTGATGTGCAATGTAACTGCTGTTGTGATGTGCAATGTAACTGCTGTTGTGATGTGCAATGTAACTGCTGTTGTGATGTGCAATGTAACTGCTGTTGTGATGTGCAATGTAACTGCTGTTGTGATGTGCAATGTAACTGCTGTTGTGATGTGCAATGTAACTGCTGTTGTGATGTGCAATGTAACTGCTGTTGTGATGTGCAATGTAACTGCTGTTGTGATGTGCAATGTAACTGCTGTTGTGATGTGCAATGTAACTGCTGTTGTGATGTGCAATGTAACTGCTGTTGTGATGTGCAATGTAACTGCTGTTGTGGCTTGAGGACTCACCTTGATTGAAGATTCAACAGTCCGTCACACTCACCAATCGGCTGAACTCCTTGCGAAACGCCTCATTGGGCGAGAGTACAGCAGGCAGGGCTGAAGAGACAGAAGGGGACGCAGGGGCGGCAGCAGAAGGCACAGCCGCCCCTCCAGGCCCCCCGGCTCCCCCAGCAGCGGAGGCAGCGGCGGAGGAGGGGGAGGCGAGGGAGTCAGAGAGCAGGGCGTGCAGCAGCGCGAACATGAGCGTGTAGGTGATGTGCAGCGCCACCGCTGCTGTGGCCGCGCTCGCAGTTGCTGTGGAGGCAGCAGTGGGCGCAGGTGAGGGAGCGGCAGGGATAGAGAAGGGCGCGGGGATAGGGGGAAGGGCGAGGGCGGTGGAGGAGGGGGAGGAGGCGGCAGCAGCAGCGGCGGACCAGTCACGGGCGGCGTCTTGCAGCAGCTCGAATAACTCCTTTGCCTCCTTGGGGTCTGCATAAGGGGGGAGCAGCGGGGAAGAGAGCAGAGGATGGAGGAAGGACCGCGGGGTGGAGTGGAGGGGAGAGGGGGAAAGAAACATTAGGGAGAAACAGATGGCACACAACACAGCGGGTACGGAGGAAGGTGAGGCGCTGATCCGTCTGTCGCGATCCGTACGCAGTCCAACGCAAAGCACAGTGGCTGCCGCACGGCATGAGCAGGTATTGTTGAGAGAGGAGAAGTAGTGGCAAGCGGAGGAGCACCAGGAGGAAGGAGCAGCAGGGCACGGACCGAGTCGGCAGAGCAGGCAAGAGAGTGCGACGCACTGAGCCACGAGCAGCCTCTCCCGCTGCACCACGTCCGCCCGCCTCGCCAGCAGCCCCCTCCCATCCATCACATACTCCCCCACTCCCTCCCCTCCGCCTCCCCCTCCCCTCTCCCCTCCCCCTGCCACAGGCGACGCCCCAGCAGGGGGGGCAGCCCCCGCCACCACGAGAGCCAGGCTCGGGGAGCCCGAGCCAGCGGCGTCGGGTCGGTTGAGCTCCCGAAGCAGGCGGAAGAGGCGGGCGGTGAGGCCTGATTGGAGCAGCGAGCGCAGGTAGCGGCGCACGTGGTCCTGCAGTAGCGCGTCTGCCATGCTGTCGCTCACCACTGCCACCTGCATGGGAGAGGAGGGGCGAGTGTGGGAGGGGAAGAATGTGACGGGGAGGAACGTGGGCGGAGAAGAATGTGGGGGGAAGAAGGAGAGGGGGGAAGAAGGAGAGGGGGGCGACAGAGGGTTGAGAGTTGGGGAGTGAGATTAGGTAGCGGTGCATGGGGTCGAGCAGTAAGGGGTCTGTGGTGCTGTCACGTCACCCACCCACCACTGGCACCTGCAAGGGATAGACAGAGAGAGGGCAGAACGCGAAGGAGAGGTGGGAGGAGAATGAAAGGGCAGGAGGTAGTGCCACGTGGGCAGGAAGGCACACACACGTGGTCTGGGAGTAGCGGGTCTGCGGTACTGTCGTCCACCATTGCTAGCTGCAAGGGAGAGGGGGGGATGGGAAGGAGCGGTGGAGTGAGAGTGAGGGAGAAAGAGGAAGTAGCCCAGCACACACACGTGGTCCAGCACACGTGGTCCAGCGGTAGAGGGTCTGTCTGCCTGTGGTGCTGTCGCCCACCACTGCCACCTGCTAGGGAGAGACAGAGAGGGGGAACATGAAGGGGAGGTGGCATGAGAGTGCGAATCACTTTTGACCCGGCCTGAAGTCGAAACGAGTCGTCGAGTTGCGATCCGATCTGACCAAGCCAGGCCGCATGAGTTCGGGTTCGGGTTTCGGACAAGTCTCCTCTGAAACCTCAAACCTGAACCTGAACCTGAACCTGAACCTGAACCTGAACCTGAACCTGAACCCTGAACGGACAGACAGAAAAAGGGATCGTGATGTTTGTTTTTCATAGGGTGGGAAGTGGTTGGCTGCGATAGACAAGGACGGGCTTCGAGCGGAGGCAATGGGAGGGGGGAGGAGGGGGAACCAGACGGACGTTGAGAGGAGGCGGCGAGGGGGAGACGGACGAACCTTGAGGAGGAGGAAGAGCGTGGAGAGCAGCGCTCGCCTCTCCGTGAACCACAGCCCGGCTGCCAGCCGCACCACGTCACTGTCCGCCCGCCCTGCTATGCCCCACTGCTTGGGGGTTGATGGGTGTGACGAGCACATGAGCATGAGGAGAGGGTGAGTGAGAGAGCGATAGGCATCACATATGTGATGATCCAATAGGACCCACACCCAACAGCACACGTCATGCTTGCCAAGCCAACACCACGTGTCTCATGTGGTGGATGCGGGCAAAGAGTGTGGTGGGTGGGGAGAGAGAAGAGAGCGCAGTGTGAATCTGGGTTCGGAGAAAACGAATTGAGGTACTCGGAGGAGGTGATAGATAGAAGCCATGGGCATGCGACGAAGCATAACGCTTCATGCAGTGTAGCGAGCATGGATAACTTCATCATGAAAACGCAGCAATCGCATGCCCATCTTTCTGCACTGAACGATTAAGAAGCCCATGTTGTGAATGCGTGAAGCACAACATGAGGCCCCTGGAGAGGCCCCAGCAATACCTCACGTCATCACACCCCAGGTGACCTCTAAGTCACTTGTGAAGGAGCGAGAAGCCCCTGTTGTGAATGAATGAACCACAGCATGAGGCATGTGGAGTCTGGCGCGCACGGCAGCAATGCACTGCCTCGCTCCCCGGCGATACGACACCTCACACACCCCAGACATCACGGCACATCACCGCACTTGACCACACTGCATACCTCATGGTGTGCTGCCACGAGCAGCGCCACACAGTCCACCTCGTTGATGCCAAACGCATCGCTCAGCTGCAGCGCCAGCTGTGGGGGGCATCAGGGCATGAGGGGAGATGGGGGGACGGTGTGGTGTGGCGTTGCACAGGGGGGGCGGGGACAGCAGAGCAACGCCAGAGCATAAGGGTGTGGATGAAGGAGACAGTAGTAGGAAGAGTGGCAGCGCTTGGAAGGCAGCAGCAGCGCCACATAGGTCACCTCGTTGATGTTGAACGCATGGCTCAGCTCAGCTGCAGCGCCAGGCCAGCTGTGGGGGCAACACATGCAGAGGGGCGGGAGGGGTGGCAGCGTGGCATCACACAGAGGGGGCGGGTGGAGCAGCGCACAAGGGGCAGAACGGGTGGATCGGGAGGGTGGGCTCACCTGCACGTCCCACCCCTCACCACCCCTCACCTGCACGTCCCACCCCTCACCTGCACGTCACACCCCTCACCACCCCTCACCTGCACGTCCCACCCCTCACCACCCCTCACCTGCACGTCCCATCCCTCAGCACGCGTCACCAGGGGGTGGGAGGGCTCACCTGCACGTCCTTGGCGTCGAGCACAGCGGGAGGGCCGTCCGGCAGCGGCACCTCCTTGCTGCGCACCTGCGCGCGCTGCTGCTCGTCCCGCGGCTTCTTCACCAGCAGGTTCCTGTAAGGGCAACCGTGGGGACAAGGGCGCGAGGTGGGTGGGGTGGGTTGGGTCGCGTAGGTTGAGTTGGGTTGAGACATCAGCAGACAAAGCAGTGGCACCTCCTTGCTGCGCACCTGCGCCCACTGCTGCTCGTCCCGGGGCTTTTCCCCCAGGAGGTTCCTGCAAGCGCGGAGGGAAAGAAGAGTGGGATGGGGGGTAGGGTGGTGGGGGATTGGGAAGATGAGGAGCGGGATCGGGGAGAAGGGGGATCGGTTAGAAGGGAAGGGTGGCAGAGGGAGGGCCGTGGGTTGGGTTGATGCATTGAGAAGCACGCAAAGCAGCTGTGCCTCCTTCGAGCGCACCTGTGCACCGCTGCTAATTCCGCGGCTTCTCCGCCAGGAGGTTCCTGCGCGCGCGAAGGGTGCATGAATAAAGCAGGGTGGGGGAGGGGTGGGGAGAGTGGAGGGGGAAGAGGGGAGGGGGGAGAGGGGATGGGGAGGGGGAGGTGGGGTGGGTGAAGGGAAAGAGGAGGGGTGGATTCTATTATCTTAGCAGGCACTTGCACCTCGTCGTTGCAGTCGCAACCCTCTCGCCACGTCACACTAGGTTGAATCAAAACCCTGACGGCGAAGTTTCTGTAGGCGCTGCGATTCTCGCCATAACGCGTCGCGAGCGATCGTTTACCGCCACGCGCAATTTTCATGTCACACATCTAATGTCGTGACGTCATAAGCTAACGTCTGACGTCACACCTAGCGACGTGACGTCAGACCTGAGGTCATCTTCGACGAGCGAGAGCGCGTAAAAGAGGTCGCCGCGCTGCGCCGCCGTCAGCTGCTTGCCCCGCCGGCCGTCAGGCCCCAGCGCTGCCTCTACCGTCTGAAGCACCGACCGGTACGACACCATTGCTCCCTATCGTCAATGACGCCTGCTAGCCGTTATCCTTTTAACAAATTGTTGCGATGCGACGCGAAAAACTGCACCGGGATGAGTGGACGACGAGACGGGCTAGTGGGAGAAGCTGGGATGAGAGGGGAAGGCGAAGCGCGGGAAGCGGCAGCCGTGAACGTGCTGCTGCTCGCGGAGCGCGAGAAAGGAATCAGAACATGGCGAATTTCGCCGGTATCAATGCGGCAAACCTTATCGGCACGTAACAATGGCGAAGCTTTGGAATGGAGTAGGTGCGACCGTGGAATTAGGCCATAACACGGGAAGTCGCGTCTCGACTCCACCTGGAATTTCGATCCAAATGGCGTTTATCAAGGGGGCGTGGGTTGGGCCTAGAAGGGTTTGAGAAAGGGGATCTGCGAGGGTGTGTGGGCAGTAGGGCGTGGAACTTAGCTGATTGAAAACGCCGAGATTCGAACGTCGATGACGGGATCCAAATTATTTTTCTGACAATTACGTGACTCAAAACAAGTCGGAACCCGCTGATGAAGGCTCAAATCACAATCGAACTTATTGCGAACTTATCCAACTCGCTTTTGTCGCAACTATACACTTCGTCAGGGGAGAAAAAGCCGGCGCGACTTGAAAGTCAGCTGTGATGGCAGTAACTTGGTAACGACATAGTGTGCTTCCGATATAAATGGTCGCCTGCCTCTTCAAATGACACTGCTGGGATTCGGTAGTCGAAAAGGTAACTCGGTCGAACTGCGTTCGAGCAGCATGTTCCGGACAATTACCGAATTGCTATTTGAAGGCGAAGCTGTACGACGAACGAACTACGCGAAAACTGTTACTTATACTTCGTTCGTGATGCTACAATGAGCTTCCTAGCCTTCAACAAGTAAAGAATCAAATACTAGATACATGGTGTCCTAATATATGATAGAAAGAGTGTAGGTCAGTCAATAACAAACCTTTGATTACAGCTACTGATCAAACAATGAAGTCTAGCAATCATATGGTAAGAAACCTAGCTAGGCAGTGACCTCGGAATGTGGGATTGCGTAATGGTTTGGAGCTGCAAAGTTCGAAAGCGACGCGAGTCTCAGATCGCAATCGAAAAGTGACGTCGTCAGATGAAGCATGTTTTTCCAAAAAGTTGGAGTCATCGGTATAGTAGCATGGCTCATTATGGAATAGAGGGGGGTAGTGTAAAATGGCAAAACCGATATTAATGAATTGTTGCATTGGTCTATTTTTCGTTGTTAAAAAAATCCATTGTAAAATCCTACTGGGTGGGTGGCATCTCATTGACCACAAATCTTGTATGCCACGTCCGGTGTTAAATCGTATATATCTCTTTGACTATATTGAGTTGCTCACTAATAAATACGACACTTAAGGGGTTGCTGTTTGTATCACTCTCGTAGTGAACATTGTCCTGCTACTTTACTTTGGCATGACATCATCGTAGGTTGTTCCTAGGTCCTAGCCCACCTAACTCTCTAGACCACCTAGCTACTAGCGTTTCCGCCGAGCAACCCGCCTCACATCTACCATTTCCGCCAGCCTTAGCCACCCAACCCAACCAATGCCATCTAGTTGGTACATCGCGTACCAAGCAGCAGCCAACAGCGAGTAACCGCACTCACCAGCGCACGACAACCCACACCAGCACCCGCAACTACACGCATCAGCGTGCGCAGCAGCACGTGCCAGCATGCACAGCAACGTATACTGACGCACACAACAGCATGTACCAGCGCATGCTGCATCAGCGCTAACGCACACAACAGCAAGTACAGGCGCGGGCGACCGCACGCACCAGTGTGCACAGTAGCACGTGTCAAATGATATATCTGCTATATATGTTTAGGCTTTAGTGGGGTAGCAAATATGGGGTACAACCCCTTTTAGGGTTTCATATTTGTACCCAACTATTTCATAGTTCATTCATTCTTGCTACTAGATTCTAACATGGTATCAGAGGACTAGGTCCGTAGGACCGTCTTTTTTTTTCGAGCCCACCTACCGTTGCGGTTACCGTGCTACCCCACGTGTTGCCTGCCTGCCTGCCTTGCCTTGTGACGTGCTGCGCTACGCGCGCCGTCCTGCAGCCCTCGCGCTGCGAACTGTTGCCCTAGGCCAGCGCGCCGCCCCTGCAGGCCCGTAAGGCTCGTGCGCTGCCCCTGCAGGCTCGTAAGGCCCGCGCGCTGCCCCTGCAGGCCCGTCATGTGAGAATAGTAGGTAGAGTGAGGAGCCATAGCTAGGGTTTAGCTAGCTAGGCAAGAGAGAAATGAAGAAAGGAGGAGGTTCACTAGCAGCAGTTGGGATACATATAGCAAACCCTAACAGGGTTGTACTCGCTATAGAGCACCCCACTACAGGCTAGATAATAACATTTTGACACACCCCCATAACCAAAGTGGGGTGTAATCAGCAGAGCGCACAGTCATAGAGCAGGTTCACAATGGCAAGCAAAGCTAGAGGCTATCACAGAGGGCAAGTGAGGAGGAGGAGAGTACTGTGGACGGAGAGAAGATGGGAGGCAACGACTGAAGCTGCAGAGGCACGGGCACAGGAGCGGCTGACTCAGTGGCTACCGAAGCAAGGGCGACGGACTACTGGAGTGACTGGCTCCGCGGCTATAGACGAGCGGCAGGAGCAACGGACCCAGTGGCGACTAGTGCAACAGGCTCACTGGCTACCGAAGCAAGGGCGACGGATTACAGGCGCTGCACGCGACACGACAGCTACCTCCACACAACCTCCTCCAACTGACCCACACCCTTGACACACACCCCCTGCTGAACCCCTAACTCCACTCCCACGTCACCCCCCTAGCACCACTCCTTCGGCTCCCACACACCCACCCCCCTAAGCGGCAACTACAGCAGCGGGAGACGGAGGAGGAGGAGGAGCAGGGGACGGCGCACACAACCGGCACCCCCACAACCGTCACCCCCACACTCCCCACCCCCAAACCCTAAAACGGGTGGCACAGGGTAGGAGCGCGGGGGACGGCGAGGGGGACGGCGCGCGGCCCCCAGGGCGCCACCACGGGGCAGAGAGGGGCCGCACGCGGCTCCAGGGGTGGCACGCGGCCCCCAGGGCGCCACCACGGGGCAGCAAGGGGCCGCGCGCTGCTCCAGGGGTGGCGCGCGGCCCCCAGGGCGCCACCACGGGGCAGGAAGGGACCGCGCGCGGCTCCCCAGGGCGTTGCGTCGTGAGGGGCGGGGGCCGCGCGTGCTCCCCAGGGCGCCGCGACGAGCAGGGAGAGGGCCGCGCGTGCTCCCCAGGGCGCCGCGACGAGCAGGGCAGGGGCCGCGCGCGGGTTCCCAAGGAAGGAAAGCGCCGCGCGCCTCGGGGCGCACGGCGGGCAGAAAACCGCCGCGCGCCCCGAGCGCACGGCGGAAAGAAAAACCGAAAAAAAAAAATCGCGGAAGGAGGAGTCGCATGCCACGGGGCGTGCAACAGACAAAGTAGCAGCGGAAGCAGTTAGGTGGGCCCACAGGCCAGGAGCGTAGATGCTCTGATAGCATGTGAGAATAGTAGGTAGAGTGAGGAGCCATAGCTAGGGTTTAGCTAGCTAGGCAAGAGAGAAATGAAGAAAGGAGGAGGTTCACTAGCAGCAGTTGGGATACATATAGCAAACCCTAACAGGGTTGTACTTGCTATAGAGCACCCCACAATAGGCTAGATAATAACATTCTAACACGTCAGGCCCGCAAGCCGGCCCTACAGGCCCGTCAGGCTCGCGAGCCGCCCCTGCAGGCCCGTCAAGCCAGAGCGCCGCCCCACCAGGTCGCTGACGCGGCCCCGCCCTGCCGCTGACGCAGCCCCGCCCTATCGCGCTCGCGACCCCAGCCCTGCGGTCGACGTGGCCCCGTCAGGTCGCTGTCGCGGCCCCGCCCTGCCTCTGACGCGGCCCCGCCTTGCCGCCGACGCGGCCCCGCCCTGCTGCCGGCGCGGCCCCGCCAAGTCGCTGACGCGGCCCCGACCTGCCGCCGACGCGGCCCCTCCATCCGCCGATGCGGCCACGACTTGCCGCTGTCGCGGATCCGACCTGCCGCCGACGCGGCCCCGACCTGCCGCCGACGCGGCCCCGACCTGCCGCCGACGCGGCCCGCCAGGCCGTTGTCGCGGCGCGCCCTGCAGCTGACGCGGGCCCACCCTTCCGCTGTCGCGGCCCCGCCTTGCCGCCGACACGGCCCCGCCCTGCCGTCGATACGGCCCCGCCCTGCCGCTGTCGCGGCCCCACCCTGCCGCCTACGCGGCCCCGCCTGGCCCCGCCCTGCAGTAGCTGCCGCGGTCCTGCCCTGCCGCTGTCGTGGTCCCAGCACTGCAGCCGAGCGCCGGCCCTGCTCGCCCAGCGAGCACCTGCCCTTCCCGCCATTCGTGAGCACCTGCCTTGTTCGCGCGCTGCCGCGCCATCTGCCTGCCTGCTTGCCGCGCCTGCCCTGCCCGCGCTGCTACTGCTGCTACTTCTTCTACTACTGCTAGGCTACTGCTACTGCTAGTGCTGCTACTGCTACTACTAGCAGTGGCCAGATGCAGCTCCAGCGGCGTCCGCGTGATTCTCTCACGCCCCAGCAGCTTCGTGAGTGGTACGCTAGTTGGGGTTGTGGCGGTAGCAGTCGTGGCTGTCGCCCTGGAGCTGGTCAGTCGTGAGCGTCTGGCAGTGGCCAGCTGCAGCTGTAGCAGCGTCCGCGCGAGACACTTACGCCCTAGCAGCTTCGTGATTGGTACGCTCAGAGTAGAGGGTCTCGGAGTACCGTTCGCTGTCCGTACGTCATTCGCACAGGTGATAGGGCTGGTCAGGCTTGCGGGACGCTTGGTCACATATAGTCCCGCTGCTTCACCCGTCTGAGCGACGCCCGGCGTACTGAGTTTGGCGACGCGGCTGAGTTTCTCGACTGGGTGGAGCTGCTTGGGCAGAGGGTAGATATATTTGCTCTTGACTTTAATGCTATTCTCACTGCCATGTATGCATTGCCTACTAGTGCTGACCGTGCATA